TGCATTTTCTGCCTTGAGAGGCGCGGCCTTCTCGCCCTCCCCAGCGCCGCCTGTCGTTACAGCTGGAGGCGGCTCGGGCGGCGGAGGGTGGCCGTCAGGCGGCGTGTCATGGGCTGTCACTCGGGAGTGCTCGGGCGCGAGAGAGTTCATGACAGAGACGTGGCAGGAAGCTGCAGTCCACGCAGAATCGTGGCAAGGGTGACTAGCGCGTAGGGGAGCGGGACACTGAGGTGAGGGAGCTCGGCGAGGCGGTAGCTCCGCCATCCAGCTGCCAGAGGCCGCCACCGAAGCGCCGACGCTGGCCTGCCCCGCTCTGCCCGTGAGGCCCAGCACGTGCCCGCCCGCGCTTGCCCCCCTCGCAGCCTCGGCCACGTCCTCACGGCAGATGACTCGATCCGCAGGAATTGGCTCTCCGTCCCTGGGGAATGACGGGATCTGCTGCTCGTTCTCGCACGTTCGGGCCACGGAGGCTAAACGCCCCCGAGTGACTTCGGTGTCTGAAAGCGGGGTCAGAGGCCACTCGGAACGTGCTCGACACAATTGATAATTAATGTTACTCATTTCATCCGATTCACGTTTGGTAGGAGGTATTTGAATAGCGCAGTTCCTCCTCACTGGTGCGCCCGTATCGCTGGCCATGACGGTCTCCGGGCAGGTCCCGGGCGTGAGCAGGAACACGTGACCTGCTGCCGCCGCCCCATCTGTGAACCTGAGAGTTCGGCTGCTTGAACTGACTTCCCCTGTCACAGGTGCAACGCTGAGGCCAGTCTCTGCTCCTGTCGGATGTCTGTGCACCATACCACTCTCGGATCTGCCCTTTGCTCCGGATTTATATCTCCCTGTGCTCTTCGCGCCCTTCGGTCTGCGGGGGCGTCGCCTGTTGCCTCTGGTGCCCCTGGGTCCAGGCGTCACACATCCGCTTGGCGCGGACGCGTCCGTGATTCCAGGCACACGCGCCACCGCTCGGCCAGGCCTCGTGGAACCCGTCATGTGAGCAGGGCCGTTCGTAGCTCCTTTGGCCGCTGGGCCGTTCCCGTCTGGAGGAGGGCTCGCGCCCTCGCATGCGTTGTGAACAAGCCGAGAACTACACATGCATGTAGCTGGCAGTGCTGCCGTCGTCGCAGGCGAGGCAGACGTCGGGGCGCTCGTGGTCAGCGCACCAGACGCCGCAGAGCACGGAGCCGACGTCGATGTGGGGACGCGGGACAAACACGAAGGCGGCGCTGACGCACCTGGTCCTATGCTGGGCACATGCACCCCGACAGGCACTTGCTTCGGAGTGGCGCTCCTGTCTACTGTCAAGACATTTCTAGCCCTTCTGCGGGGCTCTAAGAAGGTCCCTACGCAAGCCCAGGTCCCAAGAAGTGGGGCGGAGGCATGGTGGCTTTTCGGGTCGGACGGTCCAGTCGGGCCAAGCGACCGGGAGTCTGAGAGGCCAGACTGACCCAAGATGGCTGGGCCGCCCACCACGAGGGTCGGGGCGGGCTCGCTCTTGCTCCAGTGGGCGGCCACGCCTTTTGAGAGTCGGGCTTGCATCCAGCTGGCGTGGGCGCCCACCTGCCCCTTTCCGAAGAGCGAGACAGGCCCTTGCGGCCGCTCCTCGCCGCCCACTGCCCGAAGGGCGCTCTGTGACAGGAGGCCGCCCACCACGCTAACCATCGCCCCAGCCTGCACCTCTAAGCTATCGCTTGGTCTTGCTTCGCCTGCGGATCAACAGTCTCATTACTTTTCATTCTACTTGTCGGGATTAGCTATTCAGCACAGGTCCCTCCCTCCCCTTAAATAGACTTCCATGTCTGTATGTAGAAATATTGTGTATGCACATATGTATGTATGTATATGTGTGTGTGTGTGTAAGCACGAGTATTGGTAAGCAATCGTTTGCTTCAGTACCGGGCGAAGTTCCATTAAATGAACGAAGCCATGACCTCGCGCAACTGTACTTCGCACACACACGCAAACACACACACGCATATATATAGTACCGAATCAGTGTCTGACATTGGCGACCTTGTTTTTGAACTTGCTGTCCCAATCACACGAAATTCATATGATCCATTAAAGCAATGGAATGTGTGTGTGTGTGTGTCTATGCACGGATGCACTTTATTACTACATATAGAAATACAAAATACAAAGCTAAATTACCTAAAATCACAGCACAGACCCTACATGTGAAGCACGCTGCGCATTCTGCTAGAAATGAGCCGACACTCTTTCACCCCGCCCCCCTCTCCCCCGTCCGGCGCGGCCCTAAGCGAGGTCGAGATCCCGCTGCCGCCGGCGAAGGACTCGAGCACAACCTCCGCGCCGACCGAGCCGCACAGCAGCCTGCCGCCGCTTCGGAGGGCGTCCCCTTCGCAACGCACTCAGCGGAAGGCAGTGCGACCCATCCTGCGGCGGCATCACTCAGTCAAGGCGGATGTGAGTTACGAGGGAAGAGCGCTCTGAGAGCTCGACTGTGACCTGGCGGCGACAGCGCGTGCACGGCAGGGCGAGGCACCTGGCACCAATGCCAGCGGTTGCCAGGCAGGCTAGGATGTCTCGGGGAGGGAGGGAGGGAGGCGGCCGCTACCCGACCTACACCATGGGCGACGCTTCGAAGGAAGGACGAAGCCAGGCCCTGGCAACAAGGTACTGCGGCAAACTATGATTATTTGGGAGTTACGCAACACGGTGCGAGGACAGACCCGTGATCTGCCTATAGATTCTCTCTCTCTCTGTATGTCCCTCTCCCTCTCTCTCTCTCTGACAATCAAGGTCAATCTGATGCCAAGAGTGAGCAGGCACGGAGTGGTAATGACACTCACTAAAGGGCGAATCAAGTTCTGCATATCGGTGCCACATGGCACTGTTTACTATACTGCCACAGCCCGGTCCGCTGTATTCATTGCTGTTATCGCCGTGTCATCGCAGGTGGAAAATAAACAATAGAATCCTGCAAGAATCCGAGTGTGGACCAAACCCTGCCGAGCGCCCCAAGACTCCGCAGGCCCAAAGCCTCTCCAGGTCCACGGAGGCGAATGCGGTCACATCTACTGCCCGTGGAAGACCCGCCATCACGGAGCGACGTCGGTGAAACTCGCGTCCGAAAGGCTCGGCGACATCGCGGGGGGAAGAGGAATGGCTCGGCGGCGACAGAGCTCCGGTCCTTCTCCCCCGCCGTGTCCAACCGGGGCACCGGGGAAGGGGACGTCGATGGAAGGCGCGACGGAGGCCAACATTTCATCTCTGCTTATAGCTTACTGACGTCAAGTTGCCGGAGCATTAACCTTCATGCGGGCGCAGCATCTGGGCACTCGCTGCGGGCGTACCTGGGAACTGTGTCCACCGGCACCTCATAGATCGCTCAACCGATTTTTCCAACCATTACGACCAAAATTATGTAAAGTAATACTCCGTTAACAGAATATCAACCGTGATTATATTGCAAAGGTGAGATCCGGTCTATTTCAGGCTCGCAGTGATGCCATGACCTTGCAAGCAATGAAAGCTTTGCTAAAGGATCCTGCATGGCCTTGCGCTTCCCTGTGTTGTGATCCTCTGATCTCTCTCTCTCTCTCTCCTCTCTCTCTCTCTCTCTCTCTCTCTCTCTCTCTCTCTCTCTCTCTCTCTCTCTCTCTCTCTCTCTCTCTCTTCTCGATTCAAAAGGAGACATACTAACATGTAAACACACATAACGTGTATGTGTGTGTATGTATGTATATATATGTATATGTGTATGTATGTTATATATGTGTATGTGTGTGTGTGTGTGTGTGTGCGCGCGCGTGTGTACATATATATTCATAAGTGAATATAAAGTGCAGACACACACGCAGATAAAGGCATGAACACACACACACACATATAGTATATAAAGTACATAGACATGCATGCATTCATTCATAGATACATACATGTGTACACAAAAGCCCCCGGAACCCGCATAGCCCCTACAGCCGGGGTTTTCAACCTGGGGGGGGGGGGGGGCCGCGAAAGAATATACAACCCTCCGTCAGGCTGTGAATGCACTGATAAAAGAAAAAAAAGAAAGAAAAAAGAAAAGAGAGGAAAAAAATGTGTCGTCACATCTCACGGACTGCAAAGCTATTACCCTCGGCTATTCTAGCGCTGGCAGGAGAGTCCGTACAGACGAAACTTCAATGCAAATTTTAACAACAGGCGAAACTTAATGCAAATTTTGACAACAGACGAAACTTAATGCAAATTTTAACATTCTAACTTCTCGTTCGAGAAATGTTACATGCCAAGTGATCGTCTCTCACGCAGGCCTACCCATCACCTACAGTGGATGACGCCGAATTCCACTGACATCTTTAAGAACTCGAACAATCAATCAATCAATCAATCAATCAATCTTCCCCTCTTGAAAGGTTAGCTTGCTTTCTGGCCATCGACGAGGAGCGGCGTCGTAGTCATCGGGATTTGGAAATAATTTACAGCAGTCCAACGGCGTGTACGTGGTGGCCCCTTGCTTTCAATTTACTGCTCGTTTTCTGCGAGTGCGTTTCGGTATTACTTTGGGCTGTCAGTTGGATGGCATTCCTTACGGCCGGGCTCGACTGCCTCAATGGAAATGATGGTGCGCGTTATGTCAAAACAACCTCTCCTAACCCCGGGTGTCATTCCGCGTTGTTTAATCCGTGAAAGGAGGCCACGCCATGAACGCTCAGACGGTACCTGGGAGTAAGGTTGAAAGCCCTGTTCTCGGCTACCAAGATCTGCCTCTCCCCACACTCTGATCACCTGGGCCAGGGATAGTTGACTATAATTCCTAGTTAAACGGTATATAATTCAACTTGAGATTCATTCACTGGCGTTCAAGGCACACATTTTGTGCTTTCTAAGTTCTGACCATAAAAAAGTCTCATTCACCACACATGCCGTAGAATTCTGACCATAAAAAGTCTCATTCACCACACATGTATAATTCTGATCATAAAAGGTCTCATTCATCACACATGCCGTAGAATTCTGACTACAAAAAGTCTCATTCACCACACATGCCGTTTAGTTCTATGTCTAGCACCTTGATCAAACCTAGGGCGCCTTTATCTCCCTATCGGGGTTGTGGTGCAAGGTCTTCGGTTTTGTATCCCGCCAAATGTACGATTAATGCACGATCTATACTTTCAAAAGTTTCACACGAACCTTTGGAGTTCGCCCTTACTGCCCAAAGCAAATCCCATGGATTTGACCGCAGCGCCTAACCTGAAGGTCGACGTCAAATATATATAAACATGGCGCATACTCTCCGCGCTGCCAGCACGCACATACGGCACCATATCGGACGTGAGCACGTCTGGAGATCGCGGACATGTGGCCACGCTTCAGCTTGCACTGCAGGACAAGATCGTCGAGCCTGCGAACGACAGCCCAGGCTGTGGGAGGGGCATCTGCATATCATGCTCCATAACTGACAGGATGGAAATCAAAGTGCACAGTTGCATGTTGCATCAGGGCCCATTGAGGCGGTCACCATACGCCCACCACCGAGGGCAGCGCAGACCTCGGATGTGGTCAGATCGTACCTCGAGGTCTCTCCACGCTGGCCAGGATCTGCAATCCCGAATGACGCGGCTGAGGTCAGAGCTTCACCGACTCTGATACCCACAGCAGGGGGCAACACCCACGTTACACGAGCCCTCCTCGCCAGCGGTGTAATGCAGTGAAAAAGAAAAGAAAAAAGGTCGCACTAAAACAATGGCTACGAGACACGGCGCCTTGGCCAGCGTCCCTTCGGCAGAACTAAGAGCAAGACAGTTATCATGCACAGGCCATGGGTCGCACCACTTCTGGCTGCTCCGCTCTGAAGGGCGGCTGCTGAACTGACAGCCGCACCTGCGCCGCCCTCTTATATAGCCCTCACATAGAAAGATGCTTCGCCGCCCCTTTGATCTCCGGGAGGCCTCCTCGCGGCCGCTTCCTGCTCCGAGCACTCGCTCCCTCCCGACACCTGTCGCTCCGCACATTTCCCCTTCACTTCCCTCGCACCTTTTCTGCGTCCGCGTCTCCCCTTGCGTCTGCGCCCTGCTCCTGTTTACGTCCGTCTCGCCCGATTTCTCTTCTGTCTTCCTTCGTAACTTTTATTTCTTTCCACCTTCCCTGTCAACTTGCTCCAGTTCTTTTCCATCGACCACCTAAATGCACAGCCTCGCGGTAAGACACTCTGATAATACAAAGGGCACCACCTGTCCCCTGTGGCCCTTGCTTGTTCCGGCCGAGTCATTCTTGGCGCGGCTTTGAAGAGGCTCAAACTGGCTTACATTCAGATTCTTCGTTGACTTTATTTCTGCATATTTCATGGACATACACATACATACATATACGTGTGTGTATATATATATATATATATATATATATATATATATATATATATATATATATAATACACATACATACATACACGTGTGTATGTGTGTGTATGTATTGTGTATATATGTATGTATGTATGAATATGTGTGTGTGTGTGTGTGTGTGTGTGTGTGTGTGTGTGTGTGTGTGTGTGTGTGTGTGTGTGTGTGTGTGTGTGTGTGTGTGTGTGTGTGTGTGTGTGTGTGTGTGCGCGCGTGTGCAATGACATATTACCCTATTACGGCAGACGAGGAGGCAATGCAACATGAACTCCCGAGGGCCTCCCTTGGCGTCCGAGGGTCCGGGGTGGCTGCAGTCAGAGACAATTCAAAACCTTTTACGTGTCTCGTGTCCGTTCGCCAATCGCCGTCGACCTGCCTCGCGTTACAGCCTATCAGAGCCGATCATACTCTGCCGCCATCCGGGAGGCGATGAACCTCCACCGGAACAGGTGTTCGAAATGTCTCTGAATATGAGCCATTGTTTTATTTCACATTTCATCTCTCGTTAGGATTGGGCAGAACAAGCTAAAATAAGTGGAGACAGGATAGGACAGGTCAGCTTAGGTCAGGGGTTGCGGGGAACGAAGGGTTTAGGCAGCAACAAAATCTTGCAAACCAAAAGCATTTTCAGAGGCAGTCAAAACAACGTGACACGACCCTCCTATGTGATTATTAATGAGACCTAAATGGGTGTATCTACGACCCGTGCTATTTTCGAGGGGACGAAAGCAATGAGAAACAAAACTTCAATCAGAATCAAGAACTTAAACGATTATAACGATTGGTTATAAAAGAAGTATTGATGAGGTTCGCAACTTGGAAGTATTCCCATCTCACACGAGCTCCATTTGAGAGAAACGACATAAGGTCCTATGAACAGATAGATATAGATATATCACATACTAAAGCTATAAGGAAAGAAATTTCATATCTTCTGGTTAATGAACAAGAGGCATGAAACGCCTACTGAAGCCAGCGGCCGCCTCTCTCTTCCCGATCCCGAAGCTGTCTCACTTCAAAATCGCGTTTACAGCAAGGGTAATAATACCAGCAAGGACGGCCTCCCCGCTAATAGGCTTTCTGTCAACACACAAGCCTTTAGAAAATGCCCGGATGTGCTAGCGACCCTTCAAATAGCTCCGCCTCCGGAGGATGACCGCGACCGTCACGTCACGGCTCGGGCCTTGTTCGACAGCCACACAACAGGGAGTATAGACTATAGTATAGTGTAGAACCCTTAAAAAAGAAAGACAGGCAGGCGGAAGAGACAGCGAGGGCCGCCTCTCCTGACCAGGCCGTTTAATGCACACGGTGTTGGCAAGGGGCTGGAACACAACGGATTATTTACTGTAAATAGCGATTCACAAGAGATACAAATGGATAAACCGAAAAAAAAATCAATAATCAGCCAAGCTAAAAGTAAAGCCAGAGCAATAGAAAAGAAAACAAATTGCGCAATCAGATCAGCAAAAAAATAAACAAAAGGCACGAGACTCAAAGCAACCAAAACAAAGCCCAACACGAGAGAAGAGAAGCGCCCGTTCGCGCCGTCCGGAACACGCAGGCCAGCCACGGCGGGTCTCGCGGCACGAGCTCGCTCCCTTCGCCTTCCGAGAACCCGGTCGCAGTCCTCGTCCGAGCGTCGGATGTTCGCTGCGAGGGACCTCTGGCGATGGGCGCTGCGAAGGACCTCTGGCGATGGGCGCTGCGAGGGACCCTTGGCGATGGGCGTGCGGGAGGCGGATCGTTCACCTGCTGCAGATAACGCCGACGAAGAGGTTTCCGCTGTCACTCGAGACATTCACTCCTATCACAACAATAACTTTTGTTTGTGTCTTCTCTACAAGTTCGACGGGACAAAAATAGCGATCACTTTGGACCCCGCCAACAATTCCCTCGTTCTGACACCTGAAGAACCACGCCACCCGCTATTGACGTCACCGCGCCGTCGTGGGAGAAAAGTCCCTTGGAAATAGTCCGGCCAACTCATTAATCGGACAATCTGCGCATGCCTCGCCGAGCCCGCATCTGCTTCTCCCCCCCCCCCACCCCCACCCATCCCGACTCCTCTACAATCTACGTCTCCTGTTTTCTCTATTCTGCGCCTTCCTTTTCCCTCCTTATCCTCCTCCTCTTCTCTCGTCGCCTCCCTCCTTCATCTTCAATTTCTCCTCCTCCTTCCTCCTTCGCCTCCCCTCCTTCATTTTCAATTTCTCTTCCTCCTTCCTCCTTCGCCTCCCCCTCTTCATCTTCACTTCTCCTCTTCCTTCTCCTTCGCCTCCCTCCCTCTTCCTCCTTCCTCCTTCGCTTCCCCTCCTCCTTCCTCCTTCGCCCCCCCCCCTCTCGCTCGCACCTGCAGGAATGACACATCGTCCCAAAGCGTGGATTCGGCCGACCCGGCGAGTGCGTGAACCGCCCCACGTCGCCCGTGTGGCCTTGACGCCCCGCAGGTTTCCCCGCGCCCATTCAGCCCGCGTGGATTGCTCTCGGTCCTTTCGAGTGGTATTCATCATATATATATATATATATATATATATATATATATATATATATATATATGATATTGATCTTGATACCTGTCCAAACACGCCTTTCCTGACAGACATAAAATTACCTTGATATTTACTGGCACGAATTTGTTGATATATAACTCAACAATTAAATTGATATTCGTGATGAAAAAAAAAAAAAAAAAATGCTAATACTTTTACTGTTCATAAAAAAATTCATTAAACGGATATCGTGTCGGTTAAGGCCAGGCATACGAGTCCCTTAATGCCACCTAGTATATGACACGTTCGCAGCACCATGGCATGAGGAGGAAACACCCTTTCTATGATTCACAAGTGATGATTATTTTTGCCATGACGTCACTACTGTCATCGCGGTAACAGCCGTGACACTGCACGGTGCCATGCACGGCGAAGGGGATTCTTACTTCTGAGACTTGACACTTCCATTCATCAAAACGACGACGGATGACACCCACTCGTTCCAAAAGAAAAGAAAAGAAAAGAAAGAAAGAAAAGAAGAAGAAAAAAAGAGATGCCGAATCGCGGAGAAATGACAGTGAGAAGCGGAGACACGCCGCCCACGCCACACCTGCACGCCCAACAGACCCGTGTGTGACACTAAAAACACATGCACATGCACATGCACGCACACGCACAAGCAGACACTTTGGGCCCAGAGAGTTCAGGGAGAAGGGGAGGGGAGAAGGAGGGGAGGGAGGAGAATATTTTGAACCAGCTGTCTCAGGGGACGGAGGAACACAGAGGGAGAGAAGGGGGAGGGGGAGGGAGAGCGATGACAAAGGAACAGAGGGAACAAAGAGAGAGAGAGAGAGAGAGAGAGAGAGAGAGAGAGAGAGAGAGAGAGAGAGAGAGAGAGAGAGAGAGAGAGAGAGAGAGAGAGAGAGAGAGGAGAGAGAGAGAGAAGGAGAGAGGAGAGAGAGAGAGAGAGAGAGGAGAGAGAGAGAGAGAGAGAGAGAGAGAGAGAGAGAGAGAGAGAGAGAGAGAGAGAGAGAGAGAGAGAGAGAGAGAGAGAGAGAGAGAGAGAGGAGAGAGAGAGAGAGAGAGAGAGAGAGAGAGAGAGAGAGAGAGAGAGAGAGAGAGAGAGAGAGAGAGAGAGAGAAGAGAGAG